ATCTCAAATTAATTATTATCATATACAAACATCAAAATATATTATTCTTCACCATATGACATATTTATCTTTATTTATCATAAAATATTCAAATTTTTGGGGTTTTACAGTAAAAGATGTGAAAATGGACAGAGTTGGACTAATTGGAAAGTTTGAAAAGTGGAAAGAGTTGGAGAAATTGGAAAGTTAAAAAAAATATGTATAAAAATGATATTTGCAAATATGAAAAAGTTAGTTTAATTATTTGAAACTTTGAAAACTAAGAAAATATAAAAAGCTTGAAAATTATTGTGAAATTTCAAGAATTTGTAAAAATTGGAAGTTTGGAAACTTGAAAAAAAATTGAAATTTAAAAATAAAAAAATGTCAAAAGGTTCCAGAAATTAAAAAGTTGGAAAAAATGTAAAAATATTAAAATGGAAATAAGTTTGGAAATTGAAAAGTTTTAAAATTTTGAAAATATGTAAGAATGGAAACAATTTGAAAAATTAGAAAGTTTGAAATGTAAACAGTGAAAAAGGGCCTTTAAAAAAATGGGAAACCTGCTATTACAATTTAAATAGTTGAAAACTTTTCAAGATTAAAGCTTTTTTCTAAAAAATAAGAAAACTAAAAAACACCTTGAAATTTTGGAAGTTTTAAAATTTAAAGTATGAGAAATCAGAACATTTGAAATCTAAGTGAAATATGAAACAAGCCAACTATGTTAAATGATCAAATGGTATGTGAAAACCTTATAAAACTTTGAATTTTTGAATTTTTTTTGAGAATTTGAAATGTTTAAAAATTAAAGTGAAATGTCAAACAAAAATTGACAAATCAGAAAGATTAAAGAAAGTAAAAATATGTGAAAATGGAAAGAGTTTGACAAATTGGAAAGTTTAAAACTTAGAAAAGATTAAAACTTTTTTTTTAAATTAAGAAAACTTGAAGAAAGTTTTAGAAGTTGAAAAAGTTGGACAAAAACAGTAAATAAGTAAAATGGTATTTGAGAATATGAAAAATCTAGTTTATTTATTTAAACCATTGAAAATCTAGAAAAGATTAAAACTTGTTCAAAAAATATGAAAATAAGAAAAATGTTTGAGAATTGGAAATTTTGGAAATTATAGTGAAATATCAAAGGAGTTTGAGAAAATGAAAGTTTGGAAACTTAAAAAAATGGAGACAACTTGTAAAGTTACGAAAACTTGAAAAAGTTTGAAAAAATTATAATATGTAAAAATTAGAAAATTTTGGGGAAATTGGGAAGTTTGAGAAAATTGAAAATATGTTAAACGGATAGAGTTACATTTGAAAAGTTTTAAATGAAAATAACTAAAAATGACATCTGAAAATGTAAGTAAGTAAAAGTGGTATTTGAAATATGGAAAAGTTAGAAAAGATTAAGAAACAATTGAAAAGTTAGAAAAGACTAAGACTTCAAAAAAATATATGAAAACTAGATGAAGTTAGAAAAGACTAAAACTTGTAAAGTTATGAAACTTGAAAAATTTTGAAAATTAAAAAAAAATTAAATGTCAAAAAGTTTTAGAAATTGAAAAGTTCAAAAAAATGTAAATACATAAAAATGGAATTTGAAAATGTGAAAACCCCTATTTTCATAATTTAAACCCATCAAAGATTAAAACTTTTTCTATAAAAATATGAAAACTTGAAAATGGTTTGAAATTTTGGAAAGTTAAAGTATAAGAAATTGGAATGCTTCAAAAGTATGAGAAATTGGAACATTTGAGAGCAAGCAAAATGTAAAAAAAACTAGAAAGATTTTACAAATTGGAGACTTTGAAAAATGGAAAGAGTTTGAGAAATTGGAACATTTGAACAAAAAAATGTAAATATGCAAAAATAGTATTTGAAAATACGGAACTGGAAACATAGAAAAGGTTAACACTTTTATTTTTAAAAAATTAAAACATGAGAAGTGTTTTGAGAAATTGGAATGTTTGAAAATTATTGCGAAATGCCAACAGAGTTTGTAGAAATTGGAATTTTGGAAAGTTAAAAAAATTTGAAAATATGTAAAGATGGAAAGAGTTTGAGAAATTGGAAAGTTTAAAATGCAAATATCTAAAAAGGGCGTCTAAAACGGGGAAACCTAGTTTTATAATTTAAACCATTGAAAAATATTAAAACTTTTCTCAATAAACTAAGAAAAATTAAAAACAATTTGGAAATTTGGAAAGTTTCAAAATTGAACTATTGAGATCTGGAACGTTTGACAAGTATAGAAATTGGAACATTTGAAAGCTATGTGAAATGCAAAACAAGTGAATTATGTTAAAGTGGAAAAAAAGGTATTTGAAAACCTTATAAAGTTTTGAAAACTTAAAAAATTATGAAATTGAAACGTGAAATGTCAAAAAAAGGTCGAAACATCAGAAAAATGTGAACAAAGTTAAAATATGTGAAAATGAACAAAGTTTGACAAGTTGGAATGTTTAAAAACTTAGGAAAGATTAAGACTTTTTCAAAAGATATTGTGAAATTTTGAAAATATTTTGAGAAGTTATAAAATGTGAAAGAAAATGTAAATAAGTAAAATGGTATTTGAAAATATGGAAAGGTTGTTTGAGAAGTTATAAAATGTGAAAGAAAATGTAAATAAGTAAAATGGTATTTGAAAATATGGAAAGGTTAATTTATTTATTTTAACCATGGTATTTGAAAATATGGAAAGGTTAATTTATTTATTTTAACCATTGAAAACATGGAAAAGATTTAAGACTGCTTTAAGAAATATGAAACATGAAAAGTGTTTCACGAATTGGAAGTTAGGAAATTATAGCAAAATGACAAAGGAGCTTGAGAAAATGGAAGATTGGAAACTTTAAAAAAAGTTTATAGCAACTTGAAAATTTATGAAAACTTGAAAAAGTTTGAATATTCAAAAAATAAAAAAAATCAAGAAGTTTCAAATATGGAAAGCTCAAAAAATCTAATTATATAAAAATAGAAAGGAGATTGCGAAATTGAAAAGTTAAAAATTTTGAAAATATGTAAAAGTGGAAAGAGTAAGAGAAATTGGAAGGTTTGAAATATAAATATCTAAAAATGACATTTGAAAATGCAGGAAAGCCTATTTTATAGTTTAAAATGATGAATACTTTTTCAAGGTTAATTCTTTTTCTATAAAATACGAAACTTGAAAATAGTTTGAAATTTTGGAAAGTTTAAAGCTAAATCATAAAAACTTGGAATGTTTGAAAAGTATGAGAAATTGGAACAATTGAAAGCTAAATGAAATGCAAAACAAGTCAACTATGTTAAATTGAAAAAAGGTATTTAAAAACCTTATAAATTTATGAAAACTTGAAAAAAGTTTAAAAAATTGGAAAATTAAAAATTAAAGTAAAATCTTGAAAAACAGTGAAGAATCATAAAGTTTGAAGAAAGTGAAAATGGAAAGACTTGGACAAATTTGAAAGTTTGAAAATGGAAAGAGTTTGAGAAATTCGAAAGTTCGCAAAAATGTAAATATGTAAAAATGTCATTTAAAAATACAGAAAGTTAGTTTAATTATTGAAACCCCATTGAAAACTTAGAAAAGATTAAGACTTTTTAAAAAAATATGAAAATATGAAAAATGTTTAAGAAATTAAAAAGTTTGAAAATTTTAGTCAAATGTCAAAAGAATTCTGAGAAATTTGATGTTTGGAAATTTAAAAAACAAAAGTTTAAGAAAACTTTTAAAGTAAACTTGAAAAAGTTTGAAAATTAGTTTAAAATTTTTGAATACATGTAAAAATGGAAATAGTTTGAGAAATTGGAAAGTTTGAAATGTAAATATCTATCAAACCTACTTTTTATAATATTTAAATTGTTGAAAACTTTAGAAGATTAAAACTTGCCCCCACGGGTAGGACTTCTGGTTAGCGCCACGAAGAGTGAGGGAGGAGATCTCCCTAGTTGGTCAGGAGTTCGAATCCCCGCTACCACATTCACCTGGCTCCTGCGGTTTAAGGGGGTGGCAGGAACCCGGGGTTTTACTGGTCATTCAGGCTCAGCCCGTTGTATGCTCACCAGGTCGCATCCCTGTGGTCCACTGCCTGTTCGCCCACACTGTGGGGATGAGCCCCTGAGATCAATAGGGTAGCTCCTTGCAGGAACATTGGGGACCATGGGGAATCGATCAAGGGCCGCTGGCGGGACTCTCAAAGGGAGTAAATTGAGCTGGGATGACCAGGTTTCCCTTGCCAGCAAAAAAAATATGAAAACTTGAAAATAGTTTGAAATTAGAAAGCATGAACAAATTGAAAATATGTGAAAATGGAAAGAGTTTAAGAAATTGGAAATTTGAAAAAAAAATGTAAGTACGTAAAATGGTATTGGAAAATGCTAAAAAGTTAGTTTAATTCTTTAAACTATTGAAAACTTTGAAAAAAAAAATGAAAAGTGAAAACATAAAAAGGTAAGATGTCACCAACGCTAAAATGTCATTAAGGCGAATCGTTTGAAAAAACTTTTTAAAAGGTTTGAAAAGTCAAAATTTTGCATTTTGAAAAAAATGTAGTTTACAAATTTGTAAAAAAATATTTTAATCTTAAGCAAAACAGCTACCCTAAGATTTTACTATAGCTGCACTAATTATGTGTGCTAAAAAAGCCAACAAGTAGTTATCAACTTTGCATCATAAAGAATAGGTTATTAATTAAATTAAAATACATAACCCATAAGGCCACAATGACGTGCTCACAGAAGCAGCACAATGTGATGGCTAACCAAAGTTTTTTAATCTCAAGCAAAACAACCATCCAAGATTTTACTTAAGTTGCACTAATTACGCTTGCTAAGAAAACCAACAAACAATTAACAAGTTTGCATCAGAAAGAATAAGCGAGTTAATTAAATACATTGCCAAGGAAGGTTTTTACATCTAAAGATGACAAGTTCAAGAAATTTGATGACAGTATGTTTCTAGCTATCAACATCAGAACATGATTTCAACAGAACTGAACAAAAATAAAAAGTTATCTTCAATTAAAGGGTCACGATGTTACCTTTCCCACCTTTGATTTTCTTCGAAGAAGTACTTCCCCACCATGGATCCAGCGATGGGAACTTGAGGATGGGAGCATTTACCTGCATTGATCGATCAAGGATGTAAGCCGCAGAAATTTCCAATGTACACATAAATAGTAAAAAAATAAGATCGTACCTTGAAATCGCTTGAGATCAGCTCCTCTCTCACCATGGATCGTCGAATCTTTGACGATTTAGGGCAGAAAACCCTCCGCTTGAGATAGGCTCCTCTTCCGCCATGGATCGTCGAATCTTTGACGATTTAGGGCAGAAAACCCTCTGCTCCATGGATCGTCGAATCTTTGACGATTTAGGGCAGAAAACCCTCTGCTTGAGATAGGCTCCTCTTCCGCCTTGAATCGTCGAATCTTTAACGATTTAGGGCAGAAAACCCTGGATCTCCGCGAGAATTGAGAAGATAGGGGCACCGAAAAGCTAGAGTTTTTTTTTTCTTGGGAAGAATTTGGAAGAAGAAAAGGGAGAGGAGAGGCTCCCTTAGGGTTTCGATTTTGGGGGAAGACGAGAGATACGAAGGCCCCGCTAATCCATTTAAGCCGGTTTAAGTCGGCGTCAAGATTAAGCTAAGTAACGGTCATAATTAGGGTAAGTTTTCTTCTCGATTAAGTCTTAAGTTAAACCTAACTACATTTGGACGTGATTGCCGGCTGTCAAAGTTTATTCCCACTGATACGTGGGCCCATGTATTTGCAATAGGAAAGCGCACTATTTTAACCAAAGCTAATGAGATTCGGACATGATTGCTAGTTTTCAAAGTTTATATCTTACTAACACAAGGGCCCACGTATTTGCAATAGTAAAGGGCACTTGACTGGCATCTTATATATTTATGTGATAGACATGCAAGAAAAGAGTAGAAATTAAGAGTTTTGAATCAGAGTAAAACTAAAATAACTGCTCTTTCTTGAATGCATATCAAAAAGTCTATTAATTAAGTAATCAAATATTAATGAGAATTTCCACTTTTCAAATACATGTCATCTCCTTGTTCTCTACTACAATCAGTTTTTTAAAAAATTGAGAAAAAGTTTTTCAAAAAAAGAATATCTATATACAGTAAAAAAGTTTAAAAATGTAAACAATTGAAAGCGATAATAGAAAATTAATCCAACAATGCTTCCGTAATTCCATATAATTCTAACAAAAAAAAGTATTTATATACATTCACATGAATCATTCATGACTCCATATTGAAATATGCATAATAACGTGACAAATTAAGGAAACCTTTTGCCTGTTATGCCAACGCACACCCTTATTGTTTGCAACTTATAAATTGTGCTAATACTATTACATAAATCTGTATCTTGCTAATGCTAAGGGAAATTGGAAAGTTTGGAGGGCACATGGATGTGGAAGACGCAGGAGCCCACAAGAAGGCGGCCAGAGAAGCAGCAGCAGTAGAAGTCAGTAGAGGAGACGACCGAGGCTCGAACCTGACCTCTTTGTCGTCCTCCTCTTCAGGACAGCTAGCCCAACTATCTTGGACCGATCCCTCACTTGTTCCTTGGGCCTATTCCTCACCCTCCTTGTCTCTATTATTGACATCCAGGACCAGCTATCCTCTTCTCTTCTCTATCTAACGCAAAGCGTCAAAGCAATTGGCGACTCGTGAGGAATAATAGAACTATCTAGGATCGATCTTAAGCTCGACCGACAGCTGTATCATGAGGTAGTCGAAGCCAGCCTTGCAGGCCAGGGCCACCTTGATCTTCCAGAGAGTGTCGTTACGGTAATTTTCAACAACCTCAACTAGCAGGCCTTGGACTCTAAAGTGGCTGAGGCGACTCTACAACACCTGTATCTCGGCGAGAGATGACTCTCATTGTCTCTCAACTAGGGTTGTGTCCTTCCTTAACCTCTCATGTGCAACCTTCTCCTTCTTTAGTCAGTTCTGTAGGGCCTCGGCGTTTTGACGAGCTAGTTGTGTCCGTTTAAAAAGCATCAATGCTCTCCCACCTCTCGACCTTGGTCTCTTCCTTCAGGTACCTTATCACGTCATCCCGATCACAAAGCTTGTGCTCGAGATTGTAAAACCCCGTAAATTTTGAAATATTATGAAAAATAATATTAGATGAGTTTTTATTATGATAAATATTATTTATTGGTAAATGAGCATGTTAGTAATCGATTTGAGATCGATTAAGTGCGTATATAAGAGTAAACGAGTAAAAACATGCACACACATGCACAAAACTATAAACAATTTTGTGTTCTGGTCAGTCGACCGACCAAGCTGATTGGTCGACCGATGATGCCTAATCGGTCGACCGACGCCTTGTGCTCAGTCGACTGACGGGGCCATTTCCAGAATCCTAGTTTGAGTCGGATTTCGGGTCTTTTTGAATTGGTTCGGTTTTGTTAGTATATATATATACGGATATAATTCACGAAAATCTCTCTTTTACATCATATTTATGAACCCTAGCAGCCACCCTCTCCCCTCAAAAACCCTAGAGCATATTTTGGTGAATTTTAAAGCTTTGTGAAGAAAATACCGAGAAGAGGTCGAGATTGTTTGGCGAGGGAGGACCTATTTTCTTGCACCCTTTGGTTTTTCAGCAGCGTTTTGAGGCGAGTTTCATCTCCTCTATGTAGGCGTTAAAAATTTCCTATGGATTCTCACACGCAGCTCAAGACAAAGAGAACATGATGAACGACATCGTCCGAGTCAAAGAAGTTTATCTGACGACGATGAAATGCATGAAGCGAATCGGTAAAAGCGCACAAGTCAACAAATTGACGAAACACGCATAATAGGGAAAGCAAGTGAGCCGAAGGAAATACAAACAGCCAAAAGAGTCAAAAAGACATTACAGCTGGCCAGAAGACTCGCACCCATGCGAGTCACCAAATGGTGACTCGCGCAGCTCCGAGTCACCACGACTATTTGGGCCTCCCAAATTCCCAAAACGCGGATTTCGATGTTTTATTAGAATACTTTCGTCCCAGGACCTCCCCAACTGTTCTGAAGCTATCCTTAAGGGCGCCTGGTGGTTATCAACTGCAGATGACGTCAAAACACTTGATCTTATCAGAAAACAAGGTGACAAAAGCCTATAAATAGAAGCCCAGAATCTTCAGTTGAGAGGATTTGAAATCCGAGGGCGAGGTGTTGTCCAATTGAACAGTAGACCATGAATTTCAGAGGAGAATTAGCAGATCTTGGCGAACTTTTTCATAAAGAAAAAAGCTTTTGAAAGATCCATGAATTTCAGAGGAGAATTAGCAGATCTTGGCGAACTTTTTCATAAAGAAAAAAGCTTTTGAAAGATTTGAGATTCTCTCCCCCTCTTTCCTCCGGATCAAACCTGGTTTTGATCTCGAGAAGAGCCACAATCTCGCTTGGTCGTGATTATCGCTGCTACGATTATTTCCTTCGTAAAACAAGAGCATAATTAAACTTGTCAACCGAATCTGATCCGTGGCGGTCCACGGACTAATGCGTCCCCGGCACAGGCAAAGATCCTACACAAAGCAACAGGAGATAAACTACTGCTGCGTTTTGTTTGATAAAGTTATAATCTTTAATTTTTATTGTAAGAAGATCTTATAAAAAGATCAACTTTTCTTTCAGTTTGAACTTGTAATCGATAAACGGTGTAACAGGTTTGACAGCAATGAAAATAATAACTTTTGACGAAAACAAACTGGTGACCATAGTGGGAGCCAACAGCCTAACTGCCAAGGCTGTCGTGCCGCAACCAACGATCAAGATCCCGGTGAACGAAGAGGTCGAATACGAATTTGACCAGAAAAGTTCGAGCAGTACGTCTCCTCCTCCTCCTCCTCCAGATCCACCTCTCTTCGCAAGGGAAGGAATGCCTCCTCCTCCAGGAAGATCCGCTGGTCTTCAGATCTGAAGACCCAAGAAGACGATCTCTCCGCGGCCGCTGCTGCAGTTGCACCTCGTAATGATCCGCCGGCGTCCAATGAGACCAGATCTGCAGATCTGAACTCCTCCGCAATCAAGGAGTTAACTGCTAAAGGCGCGCCAACTCTATCAAGGAGAGCACGTCAAAGGCAACGCCAACGCCTCGCGCGTCAATTCGCCAAGGCTTTGGATCAGGTGGACGGACTCCGTTACCAAGCGGATCTGGAGTTCAGAAAACGCCAAGTGGCTAAACCATCTCCACAGCAAGCTTCACGAACCTCCTCCCAACCACCTACTAACGAATGAGTTCATGTCAAACGGAACCGTTCTACTCTTGAGAAGCGCATTCAGAAGCGTCACGCACTTCTTGCGCATGCCCAGATCCTTGTGCGAAAACACAAGAAATGCAAAAGGAAGAGGCGGTTAAGAGATTGCCGAGAGCCGAACAAATTTGGATGCCAAAGGCCAAATCAACGCCTAAGGCCAAAGCAAGCAACATTGCTCCCCAGCCTTCGTCAACTTCGGATCCCGCTCCTATTGCTCCCACACCTTCGGTGAAGCCTAACGACAGCGTGGATCTCTCCAAATTTGGAATTTTGTTGAAGGATCGCCTGGGTCCTTTACACGAAGATCAAAGCAAAGCGCCTGTTAAGGAATGCTTGGGACCGTTGAAGGAACCCCGAGCGACCATCCGGACTGAGGGTCATACGCGACCTCCTAACAAGTTGATTCCCATAATTACCCGCGCCGGGGGGGAGGGGGGTGCTTGCACAAAACCAGGAGCCCGTTAATATTTCACCCTCACACGGGTGTGATTCCAAACATGTGACTCCTGTTAAAGCCAATAAAACACTACCTATTCAGAAGAAGACGTGCCGAACAAACAACAACGTTCCACTTGAGGAATCAAACCAACAGCCGATAGGTTACTCTGATCGTAACGTCGATGAGTTGTATTATCTGGCTAGGGGTACCAACCCACCAGCCGATAGGTTACTCTGATCGTAACGTCGATGAGTTGTATTATCTGGCTAGGGGTACGAATAAATCTCGAAAGAGAAATACTCGGGAAGCGGACTCTCACTGTCCGTGTACCAAACTTATCAGGACGGTATTATCAGTGTGTAGCTGCCCCAAGACCGCTCCACAGAGGGTCTCAGTATTTGAAAGGATCTCTACCAGAACGTCCAAGTCCAAGCCAAGGCGTTTCTATAGAAAAAGATCAATTGCGCAAGATGATGAACTCCCAAAGGTCACCATCAATATGGTCGATAAGGAGAAGTCAACGCGAAGTTTCAATCCCCGACATTTTTTGGACATATCCCAACGTATAACTCGGTTACGCGCAGGAACTACTAGGCGTAGGGACTATCAGAGGATAAATAG